TGAGAACATATTTATACTTTATTTATTATTTAATCCTTGCACTTTAAAAGTTGTTTCAGAAAAACCATATATAAACGGCCAAGAATTTTCCTGTCTGTTCTGTAGGGTTTCTGAGGTTAATCGAGGTGCACATAAGTTAACTCGGACATCCATGTTTAACAAAAAAAGGTTGCATCCCTGTACTTTTATGGGAAAATATATGCTTCGAGTGTAAAAGATTTGTATTTTTGGATTCTTTTATAGCTGGAGTTATGTGTTCTTTTCACGCAATAATTACTCGTTGGATTAATAAAAATTAGGTAATATATCATGATTTTGACCATTTTTTAGAGTAAACTACAAATTTGGTTCTTGTGGTTTTCTAAAATAACATCCGTTCATACAATTTCAAAATTACATGATGACCATTTTGGTTTGTAAAAACATCCGGATTTGGTACATCCCTCTAACAACCGTTAAAAATCCCGTTAAAATGAGGAGTTTTTATTTTTGGTCATTTTATCGATTTTTTGCTTTTATGCAATCAAAATGAATTTTATGATTTTGGTCCTATGGTTTTTGATCGAGTCAAAGACAAAAAATGATAAAAAAAAAAAAAGAGATGAAAATGCCCCCTCATTTAACAAGATCTTTTTAATGACCGTTAGAGGGAGGTATCAGATCCAAACGTTTTTATAAACCATAATGACCATCTTATAGTTTCAAAATTGTAAAGATACAAAAAAATTTAGTTTTAACAAACTATAGGGACCAAATTCATAGTTTACTGTAAAATGACCAGACAGGACAAAACTGTTAAAATGACCAGATTGCCCGAACTATTGACGATAAATATCTCTCTACATTTAGGTAGGGTTTGGTACATAGATTGGATAGGACATGACATGATTGGTCTGGACAAGACTAATTGTTTGTTTCACTTTTGGTACGACTAGAACATGACTAGACTAATTGTCTGTCATGCGTTTGATAAGCTGGACAAGACATGACAAAACTGTTAAAATGACTAGATTGCCCCTAAATGTTGTTTAATTTATTTTGCATCATATAATGATTGTAAATGACACAAATCAACCAAAATAGACATTTTCACTAGACCTTTCGGTCTAACCCTCATTTTGTATTTTGAAAATGTGCATTGCAGAAACAGCAAGGTCTCGGGATATTAAAGGGAAAGAGAAAATATGATTATTTTTCTTATGTGTTTATCTGCCTTTTGAAGATCAACTTGTTGTCTGTTATATTTTGAAGATACATGTTGACATACATATGATAGTACATGGATATTCTTTTGGGATTTTTCAGTTGTAAATTATGTATATATTGAATCCTTGTACTAGTAGGACCTTTGTGGTGTAAATTGTATTTCTTTTATATGAAGTACATGTTATATTCAAATGTGGAAGTTTGGGATGTTACAAGGTAGAACCTTCCAAAGTCTTTGAAGCTCTTGAAGACCCAGACTGGATCGTGGCAATGCAAGAGGAGTTGAACCAATTTTGAACGCTTAAAGGTCTGGCGACTCGTACCACGTCCAAAGGGCAAGTTAATCATCGGTACCAAATAGATTTTAAAAAATAAGAAGGATGAAGATGGTGTCGTCATTTGAAACAAGGCAAGACTGGTGGCGAAGGGATACAATAAGCAAGAAGGAGTGGACTATGACGAGACTTTTGCATAGGTAGTAAGGATTGAAGCAATCTGGATGTTCTTGGCATATGCGGCCCAGTCTATCAAATGGACGTAAAAACCGCCTTCCTCAACGGAGTGTGGAAGGAAGAAGTATATGTCTCTTAATCTGAAGAATTCGTGAACGCCTCAAAACCGGACCATGTTTACATCCTAGATAAAGCTTTATACGGTCTAAAGCAAGCTCCACCTACATGGTATGACATTATATATAATTTTCTCATCAACACTGATTTTTCCAAAGGTAAGATTGACATAACTTTATTCATCAAAAAGGAAGGTAAGGACAACCTCATGGTGTCACGCTGTGAAATAAGCATGATGAGATAATTGAATTTCTTCCTTGGACTTCAAATAAAACAATTTTCCAATGACATTTTTATAAATCAATCTAAATATATTCAAGAAATTCTAAGGAAATTTAATATGAATAATTGTGCTTCAATGAAAACTCCGATGACACCAGGTTCTAAGCTCGACTCTGATCCTAACGAAAAGATGTTTATCTGACAATCTATAGAGGGATGATAGGTTCTTTAATGTATTTAACTTATAGTATACCAGACATGATGTTTTCAACATGTTTCTGTGCTCGATTTCAATCTAAGCCTAAAGAATCCCGTTTACTTGCTGTCAAACGTATTTTACATTATCTTAAAGGTGTTGCTGATCTTGGCTTGTGGTACCCTAAGGAAACAAGTTATGAGCTGATTGCCTACTTCGATGTCGATCATGCTGGATGCAAGCTGAATCGCAAGAGCACTTCTGGACACATCTAGTTCTTGGGAGATAAACTGTTGAGCTGGGCTTCTAAGAAGCAGAACTACGTATCTACCTCGATGGCTGAAGCTAAGTACGTTGCTGCTGCTAGTTGTTGCTCACAAGTCATATGGATGCGCCACACAGCTGAAGGACTATGACTTTAGTTTCACCAAGATTCCCATCTATTGTGATTCCAAGAGTGCAATTGCAATATCCTACAACCCGGTCCAACACAAAGAACCAAGCACATAGACACCATATATCTCTTTATAAAAGACCATGTAGAACGAGATCCAATTGAAATGTACTTTGTCAAAACTGAGTTTCAACTTGCGGATTTATTTACCAAAACTTTGGATGAGAAGAGATTCAACTTTCTTGTCTCCAAGCTCGGTATGTTAAATCTTAAAATCTGAAGTTTTTCTATAAAAACCAGTATTGTCAAAGTCTAATTCTATACAACATGTTCTACATTGTCTAGGCTTTTAGTTACTGATGTGTGTTGTCGTTTTCAAGCATATGAAAATATAAGGTACGTACTTTTTAAGGGGGGGTGTGTTTTACTTTACTTTTATTTCTGGTATATGTGTGAGGGGGAGCTGGTTTTAAATATTTATGTTTAAAGCATCTTTTGAGGGGAAGGGTTGTTTTCCTTTGAAAACCACTCTGTGTATTTTTCGAGGGGGAGCACACCTACGTTTTTGTGCTTCAAACCAGTTAAAGGTTGCACATCCTTTAAACTGAAAAACCTTTTTTTCTTATGAAAAATGTTTGAAAAAACGTCTAAGTGTTGTTTTTATCGCATTAGCTTGATGCGACAAAGATGGGTCATCGCATTACCTTAATGCGACAAAGAATCTTATCGCATCAGTTTGATGCGACAAACATTGTTCATCACATCAGTTTGATGCAACAAAACAAGATTATCGTATCAATAGGATGCAACAACTATCTTAATCACATCAGTGTTATGCGATAACCTGACCCTTATCGTATCTATGGGATTCGATAACCTTACCCTTCGGTTTGTCGTGTCTTTGTGATACCACAAACTTCCATCTAGACTTGTCATGTCTTGTTCATGCGACAAGTTGACTTCTAGGTCAACCTTATTCTGACCATTTGGGGTGCGACACATGATTTTTTTTTCAAACCTAGGGTATAAATACTTTTGGCTCGGTTTTGAACAGTACCTTTACAAAAAAATTGTGAGTGCGATAATTTTTGCGTTTGCGATAACTTCCATTGGACTTTCAAATCCTTTGATTTCAGTCTTTCAACTCCAAATCCAGGTTCGTTTCTTAGCACATTTCATTCCCATTATGCTTTCGAACTTATTGTAACCTGTGATTTTGTTTAGTTGAATCGAACCGTACTCTATCTTATCGTACCCTTAGGTCTGTTAGAATTTCCAGGTTAGGTGATTAGTGTGTAAAAGCATATACTTTAGCACCTAATTATAACTTTATTTTACATCTTTTCCAATCTAATATTGAGTCTTTTAGTCTTATTTTATGGTTTCACATTCATTTGAGCTAGGATGCGGGGATGGTACTGTTTTATGAATTTGGTGAATAAAATATTGTCATCTTGCATCCATACTATCTTTTAATTATTGTTATATTTCAGTATTTGGTTACCAACTCTCACAAATATATTTTCTCTCTGAAGCTTTATTGTTTCCAAAAACCCTTTTCTGAAATCTCATTTTAAAGTTAACTTTTGTGACTCTCTTTGCATTCTAAATCTCTGCGGAACGATATTTGGTATTACTTACAATTATTAATTGTCGTAGACGATACTTGTAAGCATGTATACTTGCATGATTTACTTGTCATTATAGTCTTTTGAGGGTATAGTTATCTACACAACAAGTTTTTGGCGCCGTTGCCGGAGATTTTTAGCCAAAAAGAATTTTACTTTAAGTTACTTTAAAATTTGATTTTTCTACTATCAAGTGTTTATTTTTAGTGGTTTATGCCAAGGATACCTCACGAGACTATTTTTGGATTAGATCCAGACATTGAAAGAACCTTTAGAAGAAGAAGAAGAAGAAGAAGAAGAAGAAGAATGGTACAAAGAAATTTGTTGCCTATTCTAGCTACTCCTGAAATGACTCAAGTCAAACCAGATCCAATATCCAATCCTGAGGAGGACGTTATTAGCCTTGCAAATTCAAGGACTAGTGGCATCTTGGACTATATTATTCTAATGTTAAATCAATTACACTCTGAAATACGTAGGCCCACTATTGATGGTGACCACTTTGAATTTAAGCTCATCATATTTCACATGTTACAAACAAATGATCAATATGTTGGATTACCATCTGAGGATCCTCATTTGCATCTTAGATCTTTTATGGAAGTCACTGACTCCTTCCATCTTAATGGAATTTCTAATGAAACCTTAAGGCTGAAGTTATATCCTTTTTTATTAAGAGACAGAGCCAAAGTGTGGTACAACTCTTTACAACTAGACTCAGTCACCACATTAAATGAGATGATTGAGAAGTTTTTAAAGAAACATTTTCCCCAACCAGGAATGCCAATTTTAGAAATGAAATTTGTCTTTTAGACAAATTGATGATGAAGCAGTCTCTGATACTTGGGAGAAGTACAAGGAATTACTAAGAAAATGCCCACATCATGACATACCCTACTACATACAGCTGGAAACATTTTACAATGGTCTTGACACCACTGCTAAATAAATGTTGGATGCTATTGCAGGTGGAGCCTTTACTTCTAGTACCTATAATGATGATTTTGATATTTTGGAGAAAATTTCTAACAACAGTCGTCATTAGGCAGATCCTAGAGCAATAATACCCAGAAAGACAGCAGACATTCTATAAATAGATCCTTATACTGCTCTTACAACACCACTAACAAAAATGGCTAGCTTGTCGAAAAACTTGGTTGTCACTACTGCTAATACTATTTATATTGTGGTTATTTCTGAAGCCTTGCCCTTCCAATGTGTATATTATGGTGAAGGTCTCACTTTTGACCAATGTAGCCTTAACTCTGAATCTGTGAATTATGTGCACAACAGACCAGCCTAATTTTCAAACACCTACAACTCTAGTTAGAAAAACCATTCTAATTTCTCTTGGAATGGTCAATGTTTAAACCCACCAGTTGTGAAAGAGCAAAGACAATGTTTTCAACCAAATGTTTCTCAAAGTCAACCTGCTCATTTTCAGCATCAGTCTAATTTTTAAAACAAGCTAAACCAGTAAGATGATTCATCCAGTTCTTTAAAGGAATTGTTGAAAGGTTTCATAAATCAAACCAACTCAGCAATGAATAATCAAAATGATAATATTAGGACTTTGGAAACAATGATTTGTCAAATAGCACTAGAGTTGAGGAACAGACTTGTTGGAACTTTACCCGGTGATACTGAGATCCCTAAGATATTGACCAAAGAGAATGTGAAAGTTTTGACCTTAAGGAGTGGAAAAGATCTAGTAGAAATTCTACAAAAAGCCACTGTAGAATCTTAACCAATTGCTACAGCAATACCACCTATTGTTGCAGCAACCCCTCCTATTGTTTCTAAACCTGCAGAAAACCAAGGATCTATACCCATGCCAAGCATATTAGATTTCCCATTGCTTTTTCCTAGTGAAACAGAACTAACAAACACAAAGCCAAGTCCAGATAGTGTTGTCAAAGGTCCATCACCCAAAGACCATGTTGATACACCACCATCCAAACCAGCAGATAGTATCCCTACTGTGCCTACTATCCAAAATCCTAAAAAACCAATGATTAACCCAGTTCCACCTTATGTTCCTTGTCCACAGAGGTTAAGAAACCAGAAAGAGGAAGTTCAGTTCAAAAAGTTCTTGGATGTATTCAAACATTTGCACATCAATATTCCATTGGTAGAGGCAATTGAGACTATACCCAGTTATGCCAAATTTCTGAAAGATATCTTGGGTAAGAAAAAGAAATTGACTGAATATGAGACTGTGGCCCTTACTGAAGGATGTAGTGCCCTCTTGTCAAACAAAATTCCCCCTAAGCTTAAGGACTCTGGAAGTTTCACAATTCCTTATTCAATTGGTCGGAAGCATGTTGGAAAAGCCCTGTGTGATTTAGGTGCTAGCATCAACCTTATGCTCTTATTTGTGTTTAATACCTTAGAGATAGGAGAGGTTAGGCCAACCACTGTTACCTTATAGTTGGCTGATAAATCCATAGCATTTCCCAAAGGCAAGATAGAGGATGTGTTGGTACAAGTGGACTAGTTCATATTCCCTGCTGAGTTTTACATCTATAAGCGCGCTTTCAATTAGGTTTAGACGTTTGTCAACCTTCCGCCAATTTCCTATTGCATCAAATATTGTTGTATTTATCATCAAACTGATTGCTTAAAGGGTCGTTTACTAAAACACTTATTTTGGTAAATGTTTATTGATTCAATTATCATACTGAACAAACATAATAATGACATATAATCTTCCAGTAAGAAGGAAGGCATGGATTTAAAAATGTTATCCGGTAAGCGAGTGTAATGACTCTTGCCCAATAAGCGTTTACCAGTTTTAGGACGTCTACCAATAATCCATTTTAATAAAGAAAATGTTACCCTATAAAACAAGTGAGAATGATACTCTTGTCGATAATTTGAAACTATACAATTATATTGAATTGCATGTTAATTAAACTTGAAAATATCATTATACATTTATATTATTATCATATATTTGAAAAAGGAAAATATTAAATCCAATATATTTATACCCTCATATTTAAAAAAATGGAAAATTTTAAATTCACTATAAATTTTCTTTTCAGAGCGTGAAAGTATTTTGATATAGGTATATATTTACTAAAAATTTAAATATAGCCATTAACTGTTATTACAGTTACCACGAACGGTTCCGGTTGATCATCGACGATCACATAAATAAATAATATTCAGAAGTTAATTAATTTTATGGTCGTTTATAGATGTTAAAATCACTGATGGATTGAGCTGTTGTCATAAAAAGTTTAAGCGGTCGAGTATCGACCTGTTAAATAGTCAGTAAATTTAGTCGCTGATAGTGCTTCTTCTAGTAGTGACTATACCTGTTTGTCTGTTCATATAAAAGGGTGCTTACTATAACTCGTAAGGGAAACAAATACATATCAATTACCAATCGATTGATTATATTGAAAACTTCTTTTGGACCACAAAAAAGAACAAAGAATCCAATCTATTGTAATATCGATGAACCATATGCAACCTACATGCCCTTCTTTGAAGAACCCTCCCCCTTTGCAACTCTAGCATGGAGCTCGACCTTTTTTTGCCAGCCTCCATTTTCGTCTTTGAAAACCCCCATCCCAAATCCCCCCAAGCCTCCATTTCCGTCTTGATTTTGATTTTCCCCCAACAGACTACAGGAAAGAAATAATCGCATCTTAAAAAATAAAAGAAGATCTCATAGTATGGTGGTGAAGACAATTACTGATGATGTTCGGTCCAGACTCCTCAGCCTGACCTTTAAGCCCTCCTCTAATGTATTTTGGTGTAAAATATATGGAAATGGGATTTGATTTTCTTGGGGTCCGACAACTGAGGATGTTGAGCATATATCACATTTTAGATTCTGATTTCGATTATGATTATGGTTTTGATTTTAAGTTTTAATTTATATTTAGATTACGAATTTGAATTTAGCTTTAATTTAGACTTTTAGGTTTTAATGGCAAGTCTTTTCCCTATAACACAATTGGTGGTGGTAGTCGGAGGATATGACTAGCCCTACAGGTGGGTTTGGGTAGGGAAGGGGGGTCCGTATAAAATGTGTGTCTGTATATATGTATATTAAACGAAGTATCGTGCAAGAATACGAGTTAATGTGAGAAGTGTAAGAAGAGATTTGATGTACTTTAAAGGGAATTGATTCAGTGTTTTTCATTAATGTTGATCTATTAGAATTCTTCAATTAAGATTAATCCAAGAATGAAGATCTTTTTTTATTCTTCTTACTGTAACTTTTTATTTTCGTTCAAGGAAAAATAACACAATGAATATTAATAAAAACGATTAAATCCAAAGGTTTTCATAAAAATTGATAGAAGAAGTAAGCCACTGACTTTAATAGGAGGAGACCCATATGGAGTAGGTGGGGGCATGGACGGTGGAGATTGAAGACTTGACGAGGAGAGAAGATGGGATTGGGATGACGTCATGAAGATAGAGAAAGGCGCCGTATAGCGATTGAAAGTGGGGCCCATCCTACATCGTTGTCGTCCCAGGTGACCGACCTCAGCGGGAGCAAAACCACTGTACACGTGACCTGTCCTATGCTTCTACCCACTCTCCATGTCAACCCTACTCTCTTTTATTTCCATCACTTTCTTTTGCTTTATATTGTTTTTAGGATCGTTTATAAAAATAATTAAACTTACTTTGATGTGACATTGATAATAAGTATTTTTAAATGTTTGGATAAATAATTTATATCTGTGTCGAACCGGTAATAAGAAGTTTTTGAATAAGTTAAATCATTCTGACTTATAATAAGTTGATAAGTGCTTTTGTAGAAAAATATAAGTTGTTTCAAATAAACAATCCCAAACACCCCCTTATATTTATATCATAATCGACTCTGATTATAAATTAAAAATATAAAAAATAAGTTTTGATATTGATGTATAATAAGTAACAAATTTTGTTCATATCATATAAAAAAGGTTTTACATATACTTTATAAGCTACTTGAATTAAAAAAAATGTATGAATATCATTTTTTTTTTAAAGAAAAAGAATAATTAAGGAGCCGTTTATCAAACGCTTACACAGTAAGTACTTGCCTGCAAAATTCAACACTATCACTTATGTACCGAATAAGCTTTTTAGTCCACCAAAAATGGTATAATATGTAGCAATTTACCTAGTAAACGTTAATCGTTGTAAGAGTCGTCATCCTCACTTACGTAATGAGACTCTTGGTCTTTGCCTTAGCTCCTACCGTATAAGATTCTTGGTACTTATCATATTTATCCGGTAAGATAATATGATTTAATAATCACTTCTACGATAACTTCCAACCAAAATAGGTAGGGATGACAAAATAGAAAACTTACATTGAATCATATAGATGTGTCAGTGGCTACACATGGCAAAATGGTATGTTTTGTTTGGTATTGGTTTGCTTTTTGGGAGTTCTGTTTTTGACGATAATAACATGACATTACAATAATCACTTCATTCGGTTCTGACCACCTTCTATAAGAATGCGTTTGGTATGCAGACTATATGGGATAGGACGGGACAAAAAAAATAGTACCATGTTTGACATGTCATGGACAAAAAAAACATGGGACAATGCGAGACTATTTTTAATTTTAATGGGACAAATCTTGATATTTCTTGTTCCACCAAAAAAGGTGGAACAACATGGGACTAAAGTTAAAATGACAATATTTTGATTGATTTGTTATCATTTTACAATCATTATATGATATAAAATAACATTGAACAACATTTAGGGGTAATATGATCATTTTAATAGTTTTGTCATGTCATGTCCTAGTCGTACCAAACATAGGACAGACAATTAGTCATGTCCCGTCCTATCCTGTCCTGTACCGTCCCGTCCTATCTCATCCAGTCTGCGTACCAAACACTACCTAACGTTATTCGTT